TCCCTTTTGTGTCTCGAAGAGGGAAGAGGTGGAGAAGTGGCTTGAGAGAGGTGGCTGTAGAGAGGAGCCTCTGAAAGCACACATTATAGCTTACCTGACCAAGCAGTCACAGGGAGTATCCGCCCTCCTGGTACCTTCCCCAGAGTGCTTTCTGGGGCTCTAAGTCTGAGGCAGGCTCCAATCAGTATGGACTTGCTATTTCAAAATAATTCCAACTAATTTCAATACTTCCCTGTAGAGGAGACATGCTATTTCGATTTTGTTCAATTGGGAGTTAAGTCGAATATAGTAATTTCAAAATAGTTTCCTAGTGTAGACATGGACCCAGAGAGAGAATATTAACGGCAGAAAAGCAAACATTTCTGATGTGATTGGAAAGTAGAAAGAGGCCCTGCTTTTTCTTGAAAGGCTTCAGGCAGGAGTAGTCTGTATCCTGCCGAGGATAGTGTTCCTTGAATGAGAGGAGTGAATCTTGCATTTTTTCCTCTCCATCCTGGGGACATACAAGCCCAGGATCCTTAAGGTAGTGTGGGAGTCCTTAAGCCGGTGTAATTTATGTCTGTTTGATCTGCAAACAGGGCACCCATGTCAAAGGGGAAATCTTGGAAGGAGTTCTGTGCCTCTGAAGAGAGGCCTGAGAGGAGGAGCCAACCCACCCCTTAGAAACAGATGATGACATGAAGTGAGCTGCTGAATCTGCTGAGTATGAAGCTGCCTTCAGAGCTGCCATGGCCACAGAAGAACCTTCCTCCTCCAAGGCCTTGAACACTTTCCATAGCCCTTCTGGGAGAGAGGTCTCAAACTTTGCCATTGCCTGCCATGTGTTTACCTCATAGTGTGCAAACAGAGCCTGGTGATTCACCACCCTGAGTTGTGAGTTGGAAGCTATCTGAAAAATAAAGTTTCCAACCAAACAAGTCCAATCGTTTGGAGGCTTTATTCTTTGAAGAAGGAGCGGTCTGGCCCTGGTGTTCCCTGTTATTTACCAATTCCACCACTAGGGAATTAGAATGTGGGCGGATATACAAGTACTCATGGTCCTCGTCAGGGACAAAGTACTTCCTTTCTGCCTGCTTCTTTATCGGCAAAATAGATGAGGAGGTCTGTCACAAGGTTTTTCTCATCTTGGCTACCACCTCATGTAGCAGTAAAGCCAATTTGGCAGGCCCCACCTGCTCCAGGTCGCCAAATAAGGAGTTTGAGGTCTTCTGAACCTCCTCCGCTTGGAGGCCCAAGCTGTTTGCCACCTTCCTCAGGAGATACTAGTGGGCCCTCAAGTTTTCTGAGAGCACCACCAGAGGGAAAGTCATCACCTCATCTGGCGAGGAAGAAGAGGAGTCTTGATCAGACTGGCCTTCCCACGCAGAGGGGAGTTGGTTGCACAGTGTCACACCTCCCACTCTCCTGCACTACCTCCTCCAACCTGTGGCACAGTGCGACATAGCAGGCTGGTTTACATTTTAAACAGGATTTTACATCACTACTGTCTTCAAACTTTTTTATTACATGCATGGTAAAACCCTATTTTTCTCAGATTATGCTGGGCCACATATTTGGCTTTCAAGGTCTCAAAAGCATATTAACGTTATCCATTACAAATATCAGCTGACTAATATAATTTTAAAATACAGAAATGGATCTGTATTTTAAGAACAGAAAACTAATAACATACTACTCTAGAATAAGGACAAATCTGATTATAAAAATATTATGTTGCAGACCCTATTTATGTATACTGTAAACTAGTGATCAGAAGTGTTTTGAAGGATACTGATACATGTGTTACGCTAACCTTATCAATTTTTCTTTAATGCAGCAATGGTGTAAGGGATGGGAAATAAGTGATAATGGGTACATAGGGTGATTGGAAATCACTGGAGGCAAAAGAGTGTCCTTGACCAACAAAAGGAGGAGGAACAGCAAAATGCAATTGGGTAAAAACTATAGAGGGGTCTAGGTTAGTAGCAAATTGAAGGGCAAGGAAAGAGGTATAGAAGACGCTAGAGAACCAGCAGTGTATTTGGGCAAGAGCAGTCACCAGATAAGAATAGAAGACAGGAGTAAGGAATGTAAATAAGTAGCTGGAGAGGAAGGTAAGGACCTGGAGGAAAGGGGCAGGTGGGAGCCCAAACTAGATAAATGTAACTGGGAATGCTTCTGGCGTTGGTAGCTGTAGCAGCTGCTCACCAATAGATATGGGGCATGAGAAGAGAGGAAGGCAACAGGCAATCTTGGGAAAATGTCCTATCACTGGCCAGAGGAAGTGGCATACTAGCTAATCGATGAAAGGAAAGGAAGGGGAGAGGCAGGCAGGGTGGAGTTGCTCTGAGTTCCACTCCCATGTCATTTTAATAACATCAAAAGACTGCCTAGTCTCAGAAGCACTACAAAGTCTTTGATGTGAGAACAGTTCTGGCATGACGTTAGTAAACCAAAAAGGGAGGCAGTTGTTAACTCTTAGATTAAATAATTGCTATATGCCCAATGACACACAGAATGACAGCTCAGAAACAGGCAGGAGGGAGAATTGTAGGGGTCAGAGATAGTTACAAGATCCTTCTCTGATACACTGTAATACTTATCCCCCTTCCAGCATTACTGCTAGACGGGGAGATCAAGCAGAGAGCTGGCTCCACTCTGCTCCTGCTGCTGGAGAAGAGTGGGGGATTTCTTTAGCTACTGAGTCTATTCAAGGCACCATGAAGAAATTTGCTTTACAGATGCTTAAAGCCTTTACTTTCATGGACATGCAATAAGATTTACATGAAAAAACATTAATTCTTAAAAAAGAAGTTCATGTATAAAAATATTACATACAATTCAGAACGAGTCAATGATACTGGCATGAGTCTACAGAGTTACTCTATATTTATATCACTGTGAAGGAGAGCAGAAACATTTACTAGGCATCTGAACCAAGCTAAAAAGAAGCAAGAATTTAGAATAATTTTTCTTAACTCCCATGTTTTTTATTGATGAGCTTGACAACAGCAAGCTATAGCAAGCTATAGCAGACATCAAAGGAGATTGAAAAAACAACAAATAGTCTGATAGCACTTTATAGTCGGTCATCTGAAGACATGGGCTGTGCCCACGAATGCTCATAATACCATCTACGTGTTTTGTTAGTCTATAAAGTGCTATCAGACTATTTGTTGTTTTTTCAGTTTACCTGTACAGACTAACTCGGCTACCCCCTGATGCATCAAAGGAGATGTAACATATTGACCCAATGGGGTAAATTAAGGACACAGTTAATTTCAAACAGAATTTTCTGGTCTTTCATTTAAGTCAGACTAATAGTACTAATAGTACTAAGATAACATTGGGCCAAATCCTATAGCTTTTCAATGATAATTTTGCTTAAGAAAGCACTAAATCATTTGACTTACACTATTATGTATGCAACAGTACATTTTAGCATGCAGATATTTTATGGTGAAACAAGATAAAATGGCTGATGTGAGGACATTTATTAATTGATAAACTTACTGCTTGGTTTTTAAATCAGGTTTGAATGACTTTTTTAAAGTTAAGGATAGTAAATAATCAAGAGATTGGTCTCAAATGGTACCCAGTATAGAAGTACCTCTGACAGGCACATAAGTAGAGGATGTGTTTATCTGATTAGAAGGAGGCACAAACAATTGTGACTATTGATTAACATGAAAAAAGTATTTTCCCACATATGTTGTTGATTATAAGACTATATTAAACTGTTATCATGGGTTTATCTGGAATAAACTGGAACATTATTTAGTTTGGGTATGTTTACACTACAGGACAAGGTTGAAATAAGACCCACAATTTCAGCTACGCTAATTGCTTAGCTGAAGTTGAAGTACCTTAACTCGACTTTAGGCGCTGTCCACACTGCAGGAAGTTGAAGGGAGATGCAGGAAGTCAAAGGGAGAACACACTCCCTTTGACTTCTCTTACTCCTCGTGGAAGCAAGACTACTGGCATTGATCAGAGTGTCCCCTTCACTTCGAATTAGCTGTCTTAACTAGACCCGCTAATTCGAACCCTGGAAGATGGACAGTGGCAGCTTCGATTGTTCTCTGCAATGTAGATGCATCCTTTGTTGTTGGATCTTTTTGATTAAGCAGCATTGCTATAAAATATTTGTGCAGATGGAGTTTTTGGAGAAATTAGCTGTGAAGCTCTATCAAATCTTTACTGATCAGGTAAGAAATGTAATTTTTCAAAGGCTTATAACTTAGCCAAATTTGGATGGATTTTCATGGGGTGCCCCATACCTAGCATATGGCTGAGGTGAGCAGAGACTGTAAGTGGTGTGAGTGTCTAGGCTAAAAGGTAGGGAATTCAAGTGTCTAAAGTGCTGCATGGATGACCTCTGGGTGGAGGTGGTATGGGTGTCTGGCAGAAAGGGAAAGAAAAACAGAAACTGGATCATTATGGGGATTATTTAAACTCTCTACTCTCAGGAAAACAACTTTGTATCTGTATTGTTACTGACATAGTTGCTGACAAATACTTTGAAGTAAATTACCAAAATGATTGAAACAGGCATGATTATATATAGGGTTATTTTGAAATGTGTGCAGAATTTTAATTTTTTGTCGCAGAATTCCCCCAGGAATATGAAATGTAATTTACTTGCTGACTTCCTTCATCCAAAAGCAGAATTACTAGTAAAGAGAGAGCAATATATATTTTAAATTAAAGGTAAGCAAATTAACCAAATTCAATAAATGGTAAAGTATGTCTAATTAGCACTTATAGAGTTCTTATCTTTAAAGTATGCTAAGCTTTACCAACATATTTCCATTAAATGACTGCATGTCAACATACCGTTAACTGATACTTTCACTTATTTTTTGGTTCATTTTTGTCAACTGGCAAACAAAAACCACTTGAAACTTGGGTTAGCATTTGGAAAATTGCTCTCTCACATCCTAGACCTTCTCCCTTTTGAGATTATACAAAAATCTGTTTAAGAACTAGAACTGGTTTGAAAAGAAACAAGATTAACTTACAGTTTCTAAGGACATGATACGTTCCTGTAAATAAAGCAGAGTACTTAAATTAGTATGTAAAGAGAACAAATAAAAAACCAGGTGAATGTAATGAAATGGCTTCATTATGTCTTTTCTGGTACTAGCATGTACATAATTTTGTATAAAACTTTATTACATAGGAACACTAGAGTTGCCATACTTGATCAGATTGCTAGCCTGTTCAGTATCCTGTCTGTAGCAGTTGCTTCAGTAAAAGGCATAAGAAAGTCTGGGAAAAAAAACAGTTATGAAAGAACTTGTACATAAGGAAGATTTCTTCTTATCCCCCATTATAGACTGGCTTCTGTCCTGAGGTATGAGAGATGATATCACTTACAATATTTTTGAAGTACTTATTATCATGACTTTGAATATTTTTAACAATATAAACGTTGTCTTGTTCTTGCATCATATGAAATTGCAAAAGCTCCTATCTACATTATTTGCACCATTCACTATAGCTATAGTGTTCTTTCTTATTCCTCTCTTCTCTAAGATAAATTGTTGCAATTATTCCAAACTCTTCATTGTCCATTTCTCCACACATTCAAATCATTTTCATAACCTCAGATCTCACCACATTGCATTTCTCTTACATTGAGTACCAGAACACAAAATTCCAAATAAGAGAATATCTCTGATTTCATATAAGGTCATTATTATATTTTCAGTACTCTCTACTATGTTTCTCATGCATCCTCACATTCTGTTTGCTTTTTTGACCATTGCTTTATGTTGAACAGAGATGTCTTCGTTACCGTAATTTGATTATTTTTCACTGTTTATATCATATTAGCATCTGTTAGGCATTGCTTTATAAAATAAAATACAAAAGTCAAAATACATTAATACTATTTCCTCTTGATAGACTGACTAGTATAATTTTGTTAAAATTAAAAATAAAACCCTAAAAGACAGAAAAAAAGAAAACCCAAATATAGATATCATAAAAATCTTACTATGTATTTTAGAAATGTGTGCATCTGTCTGTCTGCCCTTCCATGAGTTCATTTGTTCAAAAACTCCTTTTAAACGGTAAGAGCTAGTATCACCAAATTTGGTATGCAGCTTCCTCTTATAACTTAAAACAAGATAAGGGTTTAGTTGTGCCAAGACAATGGGATGTGCTGGAATTCGATTGTTTCTCATAAAACGTAAAGTGGGGGGAGGTCTGGTAGGAGAGAGTTATAGTGTAGAATGACCACAAGGGGACAAGCAAGGGGCCAGAGATGGGGATCAGGAGAAGTATAATCCCATTGGGCCAGAAGGGAGCAGGAGTGAAGAAAGGGACAGCTATTTACTATATTTTAAGAGAGTTTGTCTGTTTGTGGGTCTGTACGTCCCTCAGCCAGGGGACATGCACGCTTCCACAGCTATGCTCGCTGCAGTGGCCAAGGACAGGTGTTTCTCATGTGGCTCCAAGGTATTGTGGTGAGAGAGGGTTAGGTTTGTCTTCTCTTCCCAAGACAGCCTGCATACTAAACCCCTCATCTCCAGCTCCACCCCAGAACAATGATTTAAATGAAAAAAAAAACAACCCTTATTTTAGGATCTGAGCAATGCCAGGTGAATCTTCTAGTAGTCGATAACTAAGCAACTGAAGAATATAGAAAGGGGCCTATAATTAAAATCAAACAGTAAATCTGCAGGCATTCTACACAAGTTGTTTAAAAGTACTCTGCTGTCTCTTCCCCTTCTTTTCATGTACTATTGGGACTTATCATATAAATTTTTTTAATCTCATGTCACAACTTGCCAGAAGGTTGTGGGGAGAGAAAACAAGTTGAGGTCTACATTAAAAAGGGTTTGTTGGTATGGCTATACCAGTAATTCTGAACTGGCAAACCTTCTAGTGGAGGCAGTTTGTACTGGTGAAATAAGCTGTAATAGCAAAGTGACTTTTTGGCTGTTATAAATATGTCCAAAATAATGACATCACTTTTCAGTGTTATTTTATTGGCAAACATTTCTAGAGGAGACCTGGGCCAAGAAGCTCCTTTTCCCTCTGCAACAGCTGGGGGGCGTGGAACACTCCCAGATGTGCACAGCCTATGGCCAGTCCCTCCTACGCAACTCATACCGATAGGGTTTATAAAAGTTTACTGGAGCTGCTGACAAGTATCAGAAAGATAGCCATGCTAGTCTGTATCTGCAAAAACGAGGAGTCCTGTGGCACCTTAAAAACTAACAGATTTATTTGGGCATAAGTTTTTGTGGGCAAAACCCCACTTTGTCAGAGCTATTAGTGGCTGTTGAAACTAGTAGAATATGAGATTATAACTTTACTGGTTGAAGTTGTTCACAGAATATCTACTAGCCCAGGACAGAGTATGGAACCTGCCAAACCAGTAAAGGAGAAACTGGAAACATATGGCAGTTAATCAGATATAATTTTCTTGAATCCTTGTCCTCATAGATTTCCTGCAGGAATTCCAGGTTACAGAATACATTTTAAAAATATTATTTTTACCCCCAATCCCACTGCCACTCACCAAAATGAAGTGAAATGGGAAATCAGTATACCTTGGCTTTGGCAATGCTGTCTTAGCTGATGGACTTTTATTTCATAGTTACAGTGAAGGAGAGAAAATGTTGTTAGGTGTCATTAAATTAATTAACAAGTGTTAATTAATTAATAGATAATTTATTAGTTTTGCCACATTTCAGTGTTTATTATATTGAAATAAATAGCAGCTTTTCCATTGTTAGGGCAGCATACAACTTCTATCTGTAATGTCTTGGTGAGCAGATTTGCAGTATGTGCTAATGTGCTGATGATTTGAATATTCCTTTTTGAGGATAAAATTTCTTCTGACTTTTCATATAAAAATCACTCTAATTTGGCTGGAGCTGTCTACCTCGCCAGTAGTAAGGCAAGTACTTGAGATAAACATTAACTCTTCTCCCCTTGAGTTTTGATCAGTGTGGTTCTCTGAGATGCTTTAGATCAGCAGTTTCCAACCTTTTCCAGATAGGGACTCATTTTGGCAATTCAGGAAGACTTGGTGAGCCAAGGCAATTCAAAAATGGGGGGAAGAGGAGGGGCAGAGCCACCTGGGGAGACACTTGGAGACGCTTTTGAAATGCAATGGCGACCCATATTTGGGTCCCGATCCATAGGTTGGGAAACCCTGCTTTAAATGTTAAGAAATACATTCTGTGATCCATCCCCTTTCTGAATGGTGAAGGCCAATGGATTCATCTAGATCTCACTGTGGGGAGGAGATTATCCCTACAAAGAGACATACACAACTACTGATCCCCTGATCAGCTGACATTTGATCAAAAACATCATTTGATGTGGACAATCTGGCCCCAAATATCATTGTTTGCTCAATTTTGCTCAAGAATATTAAAAAAGTTATATGGAAAGTTGCCTTACCACATCAAATTGCCCCAAATCTTATTTACTTTTGTTGCTCTGGGGATTGATTTGGGAATAGAAAACCTCTTGTGCTGGCTTATATTTATTATTTGTATTCTCACAGACTCGATAAGGGGGAGCCATGGACAAGGATCTCACTGAAGTAGGCACTGTATAAACACAGTCCCTAGGCCAAAGAGTTTGCAATCTAAGTATAAGACCAGAGACGGATACAGATAACTGTAGGAATACATGGAAACAATCCAACAGTATTCATCAGGATAATAGTCAATGGTTCAAGCACACTAGCAGCTTAACTACTGCCAAATTTTTGTAGGCACCTATTTCACAGGTGCTAAATAAGGTCAGACAGAACCATCGTGATCATCTAGTCTGACCTCCTTGTCACTGCAGGCTACAGAACCACACACGACTCCTGTAATAGATCCCAAAGTCTGACTGAGTTACAGAAAGGAGAGTTTGAAAGAGGATAATGAGCTAGCTTTTGTGGATATTTACAAGCATGAAGGGGCTGCATAAAAAAAAGCATGAATGTACTTTTCCGAATATTTAACAAGTGGGCAATACAGGTAGGCATCATTGGCTGATTGGAGGCAGGATACAAAAAAAGATGTTGCAATAACTGAAAAAGAAGATGACGACAGCATGGAGCTTTTGTTGTGTGGATGGATGGAAAAGGCTGTATCTTAATGATGTTAGGGAAAAAAATCTGTAACTTTCAATGAGACAACCTAGACAGAACATATATTGTACTTAGTGCTAATTAGAGGTTTGAGGCATATTTGTGATTATTTTAGTCCCCAATCTTATACATATTGACATCAATGGAAGGGCTTGTTGTTTTTTTGCAATTGATTGAAGTAGGATCAGGAACAGGTACTGTATTTTTATATTGTCCTCTTCTGATTTGCTACAGCTTTGGAAGAACATATGTGTATTTTTATAGGTATTAGATAGTTCTCCTTAGCTCAATTGGTAGAGGCTTGTTTTTGGAACCAAAGTACAGGGATTCTACTCCTGGCTCTGCACATGTATTTTATTATGGATTGCAGGTCATTTTTACCGTTAAGATTAAGAACACAGTCCCCCTGAAAAACTTTAAGCTTTCAAATGTTTAGGATTAAGTCTCATTGAACACTGAAAGCATTCTAATAATGTTTAAGAAATTGATTACTTTTGAGAATAAAAGATTCTAAAATGGTTCCTTTTGGAAATGTTGGCAAAGTGTTTAGTTTTTCACTGTATCCTTTCATCTAAATTGCACTACACAATACCATTTAGAACATCATTACCTTTGACATTGTTATGCTAGACAGTTCTCTGTCAAATGAAGCTGCTAATAAACACACACATGCACCCCTCGGAATCAGCCAGGACAGTCTTTCAAAAAAAGAAAAAAAACCTCAGTGTTTGTTAAAAATTAGTCTTCCTTTTACATTTCCAACTAAATTGCAAGACCGAAAGAAAATATGTTTCTATTCCTAAAATTGTGCTAGAAGCACTTTCCTACTGAACAAATTCTTCTCAGAGGAATGAAATTCAAGATGCTGTGCTTTGCAAAAGTGTTAATAATAGATGATCAGGTGGCCGAGTGGTCAGGGATGCACTTTCTGTCCAC